AGTGAGAAGATGAAAAAATAACGATTTTTTTTTCGTGAACGTGATGGAAAGTTGCCCCTCGCGTTCGTTACAATCGTGGTCGTCTTACAATTGTTTAAATAAATGAGAGTATTCTGAGAGGCAACGACTGAGTGCCTTATTAAAATGGCCATAACACCAAATTTTCGATTATAACCTCTTTTATGTGGGTTCAGCGTTGTCCACTCACGAGAAACATGTTTACCAAAAAATATACAACTTCTACAATATACAACACAGACGAATGCCTTCACTTGATATTTTATCGAATATTTTTATGAATACGTGAGGGGTCAGACAATATATAGGGCGTGGTGTAAGATACAGGGCAATAGTGACGCATTCGCGAGCTGTGACGAAGCAAGCAAGAATAATATTTTCAGCCTGTCGAGCCTATCGCTAGATCTTTGGGAAATACTAACTTGCTTGCTTTTGACGCTCGAGGGAACAGAGGCGCCGCAGTGACAGGCGTACAAATAAGGACTGTCCGCCGCAAAAGCGTGGCCTAGCGACAAAAAACTGCGTCGCTGCTTCACTTACCGAGACGCAGCCGGTGTTGAGAATATCGGCCACAGCCTCGGCATTAAGATCCGGCAATTTTTCGTGGTCTAAACGCACCGTCGCTGAGACCGACAGTCTCAACACCGGCCTCGTCATGGTAAGTGAAGCAGCGAAACAGTTTCTCGTCGCTAGGCCACGCTTTTGCGGCGGACAGCTCTTTGGACGGCTGTCGCTGCAGCGCCGCTGTTTGATTGATATGTGGGGTTTAACGTCCCAAAACCACCATATGATTATGAGAGACGCCGTAGTGGAGGGCTCCGGAAATTTTGACCACCTGGGGTTCTTTAACGTGCACCCAAATCTGAGCACACGGGCCTACAACAATTCCGCCTCCATCGGAAATGCAGCCGCCGCAGCCGGGATTCGAACCCGCGACATGCGGGTCAGCAGCCGAGTACCTTAGCCACCAGACCACCGCGGTGGGGCAGCGCCGCTGTTCCCTCGAGCGTCAAAAGCAAGCAAGCAAGCATTTCTCAAATATATAGTGGTTGACTCGACAAACTGAAAATAATATTCCGTTGCTTCAGCCTGGTTTCGCGCAGCATATTGAACATTCAGTATTTCATGCCGGCGGTAATACGCCTACGTTCCGGTGGTTACGCACTTGAACATTCGAGCTTTCGTTTGTTTAAGAGGCCCGAAAAAGACAATTTCTTCGAAGAATTGCGATCTGCCTGAAGTTCAGACAGTTATTTTGCAATTCAGAAGCACTTTTGTCGATCGTGAGCACAGAACCTGGCCTTATTTCGCTCTAGTTTGTAACTCTTGACTCGTCACGTTCTTCTGAAAAGACGTGTGATTACAATTTGGTGTTACTGACACTCTTCTAGAAAAGTCGTGGCACCCAAAAGGAGGACCATCATGCCTATTTAAAGCAAGTTTTATACACGTCGTCTGGACTCACTCATAACAGTATCACATTCTATTTTTTTTTTTTAGATGAATAGCTACCCGATGCTTGCAGCAGTTGTATAGGGTTCGGCATCCTTAAGCTTTCTGTGTGTTGTAGCTTTATGTGCTTTTTTTACTTCAAGAAGAACCCCCCATTTTTTTTCACACCATAAATATGCAGGCATACATACTTGATTTGCCGAAATTCACGGTGATGCACTGTATTTCTGCGAGCAGGAAAATGTGACAGCAAGGAGCAGCCTCAGAAACAAAAGTTTTATTCATGGCATTTATTAGGTTACATCAACAAAATGATAATATGCTTGCATAAAAGTACAGACTCGGAAACGGGCTAACCCCCGTATTCAAGAACTTGCCTTCACTCAACGCTTCGCCTTCACTTGAGAAAGCCGATGAGAGCGCCATCTCTAGGCGCAAGTGACTGCATATCAGCAATAGTCTGCTGCGATTCCTGAGTAGCGCAGCGTCCTTTTCAGCCGAGTGGTGGCGCAGTGCTCAACTTTGTCAAGTGAAGGGGGAAAGTCGAGTCGGGGAGCGTTTGTGAATACAGGGGCAAGTCATGACCTCAGGCTCAGCGAGCCAACTATCAGTCGCATACATATATATTACCTTTCAGTGGAATTCAACATTGCACTGGGTGCTACAAAACGAAGCATGCCGCCACAGTATAATCTATAGACACACTCTGGGCATCGCCCGCTCGCAACTGCGAGCGATAGCGCGATAAAGCGAAGCACGTGAAAAAGCTCTAAATCTTGCTGTGCAGAATTGATTACAGACGTCAGTCACCTTTAACCTGATCCCGCACTTATCGAAGATAATGTATCGTAAGGGGGTAGTATCTCGATACCGATATTAATGGCCTTCAACCGGCGAGTATTCTAGTCCTCATCTATAAGGCAGAGTGAAATTTCGTTGAAAAACATCGTATACCTGCAGGAGCATCGTTGTATCTGGGCTGGTACAACGTAACTATTTTTATTCCGGTGCTATTCCTTTTTCGTCTTGCCAAGCATCGAAAGGGCTCTGGGTCGATATTCGATCACGCGACTATCGCGGCTTACCTAATGTGATTAGTGGACGATGCGAAAAGAACAGAACTTTGTATTGAGGTCCTTTGCCGCTACCGATCTATATCAAAAATCATTACATCTAGAGGCACACGTTTGCAAATTGACAATAAGCAACCCAACACATCTTCCCTTAACTGCATAATGATAAGAGTCAATGAATTCAAGTTCTTAGTTCATTCGCAGATATGACCGTACTTTGCCAATATCGGTACTATTATCAGTAGTTTATCATCATTTGTTGGTGCCTTCCGTCCTTAAATCACCGTATGAGTATGAGGGTTGCCGTAGTGGGGGGCTTCTGAAATTTTAATCGTCTGCTGTTCTTTACTGGGCATCTTCATCAAGTACACGGGCCTCTATAGCACTTCAAGTTCATCGAACTCTTATGAGTTTGTCCGGAAATGGGGTGAAAGAAACTTAATGCAGCGACCGTTGTTGCTGAATTATTCGCGGTGTCCAGATGTGGCCGGGACCAAAATCGAATGGCCTTGTTATCTAAATGTATGCTAAAACACGTTATCCTCCTAAATATATACTAAAACACCCACGCTTTTCCGTCAGTTTCTCTTGAAAAATCCAGACCAGCCATATTTACGCTAACAATACGTAGAAAAAGAAGAGGACATCGATGACCGTATTGAGAGACGGTGCTGTTTTCTTAAGTGCTTGGTGAAAGATGGCCGCAAATACAGTCTTCGTGGTTAGATTTGTATCGCATAGCACATTTCGCTCTTTATATGTTTACAACGTGCGAGATGTATGGAAAAGAAAGTCCATTTCAGATCAACTGAAGATATCACAAATGATGCGGGCTAAAATAAATAAAGTGAAACGAGAAGCTATCGCTGATAAAAAAAGAGAAGGAAAAAAAAAAACGGATTACGAAAGAACAGAGCAACCCTGAAAATCACTCCGTAAGGTGCTTTTAGTCAGTCGGGCGATTCATTGATATTCCGGAAGAAAAAAAAAAAGCAGAGTTTGCATCGAGTGCGGGATCGGGAAGAAGATAATAATAACTGAAGATGAGACTCAAACGCGAGAGTATAGTATGATATCGCCTTATCAGTCACGTTTCCCCTATTCCATCGTCAGATCAGTCATTACGGCTTATCTGTGCAGTTCTCAGCGAAGCTATTGCTACATGCGATCGGCGAGCCAGGGTGAATAATGCTCAAAGACGGAAGTACTGACGTGGCATATCAACTGGCTATATCTTATGTGTACAAACGTCTCGACCACCATTTGAGAGGACGTTGTCACCCTAATGGTATATGTAAGCTCATCACGCCCCCATCATTTTCTTTCCCGCATTTACCCGGGAGCGTACGCCCCGTCCTGTGTTCAATGCACTCACCCCCACGCTACCCTTACCCACATTCTCATGGAATGCCCGGCGGCCCTCCCCCGCGGGGCCCGGAGCCACTGACCACATGGGAGGAATGGGAGACCTTGCTGCGCTCGACGGACCCGGCCAAGCAGAAAATCGCCACTGACCGGGCCGCCCACGTCATGGAACTGCATGAACTCATGAACGCATAGCGCAGTGGGGTCGTGCGGGGACCCTGGGACGTAAGTGCCCAAATCCCTTGGTCTAATAAAGTTTTACCTCCTCCTCCTCACCACCGTCGTAACTCCACCTGCTGCTCTCTTTTATGCTTGTTGACTATTGAATTAATTTGTTCTTACGCAAAAGAGTTCAGTTGATAGTGATACGCGTTTGTTTGTGCCGTCTTATCAGCCTGGCGTTTCGCCACTTCCCGCGCTGTTCCGCTGTGAGCCATTCGGAAGCAACTGTCCAAGCTTCAGCGATTTATAGTGTTTTCGGGTGCGTTCAGTGGCCATCTCGGCCTGCTTACGTTGCCCTTTTCTGTCTCTAGCCACAACATGAACGGGGCAGTAGTTACCTCATTGGCCAAAAAGGACTATGCGGATGGGCACGGCGTTTCAATGGTTTTGTTCACATGACGTCACGATTTTTAGAAGCCAGAACGAAGTATACGAACATTATGAACCAGAAGAATTTCAGCGGGCGCTATACAATTCTGCCACTTGCGTTTTTCGTGTCCTCGCGGGAGTGGTTGTGTTACACTTCGACATCTCGGGTGCACTTTTGGCGCCAAGCCTAACCTCGTAAGCGCACTCGGAATTCTGTAAGGGTTCCCTGTCACCTCTAGTTCACCGTGGACGTGATGCCAAACCCTTCATGCCTTCCGTTTCACAACTCTCACTAGCGCAGAAATGTAACCCCAGAGTTACTTCACTTAATAGTCTTGACATTGTCAGGCAGAAGGTAAGGCGAAGGTCATTGCTAAGCATATTAACATTCACATTTGACATGATACATTCAAACGCATTAGCGCTACAAGGCAGTGGTTGTCATTCATACACATTCTGGCAACAGTTGCAACTGTATACGTTCGGCGTCTGAGAAAAATAACGACACACAAAAGCAAATAAATTCAGCTTTGCACGCGTAAGCGGGAAGCTGGAAAGCAGCTGCGCCAATGTTGTGCCCAGAATGCGAAAATGCGGTCTCGTAACGTCCCCGACCGCGTCGGCCTACACATATGAGCATCACATGCGCGTCTTACATCCGCCAACGCAACGCTGACTTTTTTTCGTGAGAAAGACAAACACGAAGGAATGTTGATAAAGATAAAACAGGCGACTTGCAAAACCGTGCGTATACATCATCACCGCTCAACCGATTGTCGCAGGCAAGTTCACCGAATTTAGACTGGCGAGTTCTAGAACGAAATGAAGTGAGGTTTATGTGACGACAAAGTTGGTCGCTTCGAATATGTCGTGAAAGCTTGAGTATGCATAATAAGTGGACGCCGAGTCTGCACATATAATTAATAAGGGAGGGTAATAATTGAGAGTATTTTTCTAACTTGCTGTGACTACTGAACGTATTTTTATTTTCGTACCGCACTCTTAAAAAAAACAAGCAAAAGAAAGTTCTTTAATGCAACAATGGTAGAACTTGTGCAGCTAATATCATCGTCAATTCTCGACGCGTGATTATTTAGTTCGTTAATTTGTATGTGTTAGTGCATATATATTACTCTGTACAAAAATAAGCACGCCGGTAAACCACGAAGCAGAATGCGACTATAGCGCGTGCAGCCTACGCGTTGTTCCTATTGCTTTAGCATTTTGCATTGTCACTGAAGAAAACAGTTTCCCGACAACACAATTCCCCATTGTTCGTATTCGACTCCGTCGATCGGTCATTCGGGTTTTGGTCGGATCGGGCTGGTCGAGATTTAGCCACTCGTTCAAACACCGTTCTCAGCCGTCCTCGGCGTTCAGTCGAAGTCGCCCTTCAGCTTGCCGACGTGCGACACGGTCAGACTTCGCAGGGACCTGGACCTCTCGAACAGCGAAGGGTCCGTGTAGATTGGCTCGCTCGGGTCCTCGAACTTGGAGGCCGGAGGAGCGGGTTGAAACTGGGACACGTACATGCTGCAGGCACTGGGCGAGGTCAGTCCGGCCTGGACGTTCTTCACCTTTGGGCCGGCCAGGATTAAAGAACAAAAAAAGACCATCAATCGTTTATCCACAAGGGCGATGTAATGCGTGGGATATAGTAACAAATTCGCCAACTCCCACAGACCCATATCTCGCGTAACTCTTTTAAACGCTGGCGTAGAGCAATGCGACCGCTCCCGCGAGCTAAGCAGTCTTCGTGTCTCAACGCGAAGTATGTTGTGTACAAGTTTAGGAAACGTCTAATGATGTCTGTCAAGATAGCGGGTACGACCACTTGTTCAAAGTTCCCAGTTGATGTCCGAGCTACGCAGCCCCCTCACGGGCACCCCTCACGCTCCTTCACCCGACGGACCCAACCGACGCGCTTCATATCAGCTTGAGCCACACCCGTCTGCAGCCTTCGCATGCTCTCTCTCGCATGACACCAACCTTACAAGATCCTGCCATTGCATGACACGCGGGGCGATATGTTATCATTTCGACGTTATACGTAACATGACGGCGACGGCAAAAATGAGCCTATAGTGCCCATATTATTGCTATCGCAGTAATAATGAAAGAAGTTTACAGGATTTGCTGTGACCGCGCAGAGAATCGAGAAACGGACAGTCCCGTTATAGCTAACGCTATGGATAGCACAAGCGAAAGTGTTAGTTCTTACGACGCACTCATCAAGTAGCTTCAACGTTCTGACATATTGTTCGGTTTGCATTTTCTTTTCAGTGAACGTAGAAAATGATAGTGTAAAATAACTATGTGGTGGACACTTGAAAAGATAGAACTTGTGGTGCATTGCCGCATTGAAGTTTGGCGGTTTAGACATTACGCGTGTGATGCTCAGCCATATTTTATCTGTGTGGCAAAAGCTGTTATCCCGATCATGATCTTTGGTAACCGCGTATACGTGACAGACATGACTCGGATGATGATTATGATGACGATAGCTATATCCGGAAGCTCTAGTAGACGGGAAGGCGACCGGTAGTCGTCTAACATGTTCGTCACCATATTATAATATTTCATCTGGTACAGCCTAGCAGAGTTGATGTCTGTATCTCTTTTTTTTTCTTTTTTATACACATTTCTGTTTTTTAACGTGCTCTAGCTATTACGCCGGAAGCGGCTCTTGTTCTGTCAATTGCATTTTTATTTTCGGACAACATTCAAGACGTATTTTGTTTGTATCAACCACTGGCCATTTCATAAACTCGTCTAATTTGGAAACCAGAGCTTCTGAAAGGTATCCGCCTACCATCAGTCTTATTGAGAGTGTTAGCCAGCGTCGGCCGTGGCAGTTAGCTACTTCAGCGCTCCATCTTCGCCTACGGGACCTCCAAGCACCGGAGGAAACGGAAAGTCTGAAAGGTCCAGTTGCGATACTTTGTTTAGACAGTACCCTAAGCTCCCACCCGAGTACAAGACGCGTACCCAGGCGGACTGACAACGATAACACATACCTGCAGTTTTGATACCAAACCATCAAACCTTGAGCGCAAGGAAACGATGAAGGACGAAGAAGGGAAACACACAACCCAATCACTGTGTGTTTCCCACCTCAGTCCTGCGTCGTGTTCTTGCCGTCACTTTGACATCAAAATGCGGTACTGGCTAACCCCCCTTGCTATCCTGTTACGTACCTGCAGCTTGATCCTCCGCACGTAGAACATTCCTCCCATGGCAACCCCGACTAGGGCACAGATGAGAAGAGCAAGGACCACCACCAGGGCGTAGTAGCCGGACTGGGCGACGCATACTGTTGGCTTCTTGTACACTGATAGGAAAGATTAAAAAAAAAACACGTTACATGGGTAAATTCCGAGGCTTTATGCTACGAAACGCCGACATGTTAATGAGACACGCACTTCTGGCTCACTTCGTAGTAATTTTGGCCTGACAAGACTTCAAAAACGGGCACCTATATATACATACGCGTCATCAGAATGATGCTATAATGGCGGGAAATCGATGACAGACCTTCGTACTTGGCTGCGGAAAAATTAGGTATAGAAACGGAATGGGCACTTATGATTACATACAGCACTCTTTCAAGCTGTCAAGTAAATTCACCATTGTCAAGTAAACAAAGGTAAACTATGACATAATAAAATAAACAGAAGAATAAATTTCCAAAGCCTGCTCAATATCCCTCTGTATTATGTTCGGAACGGGATTTCTTTATTCGCAGACGTTTAGCATGCCTCACTATAGAACACAATAGGAAAATATAATACGCAATTGTTCCTATAATTAAATAACGGAATCGTGCCTAAACATTTAAACACAACTAAGACAGCCAATAAGTAAGTAATATAAATAACCATATAAACCAGATGAAAATTTCAGCCTGAAGGTCTACATTCATCTGGTAAGCGCATTGGTTTTTCCCATGGTAATGCGTGGGTGCAAGTCACGGATCTCGCGAAAAAAAAACTAATCTTAATAAGATAACCCGGAACTTGCAGACAGTTCGGAAATTTACATGGACAGACAAACGAACGAACGTTACCGTCATGAAAGGAGTTAACCCTGGAAGTTCTTCTGAAGCGATGGTCTTGAAGATAAAATTTATTTTTAAATCTTGGTCATGGTAATGCGAGCTACCTGTTGAGCGTAGCGAAATACTACACCAGCCGACATGAAATGTAAGGCAATGTGTCGATGACTACGTATATTACGATTAGATCGTAAATGGGGAAGCCACTAGCATACATGGCAGCAGTCCAGGCCATCTCGAGGACGAACGCCCCGTAAACAAGAGCTACGTGTCTGGAAAACGCTCGATTCCGCCTCTGTGACTTTTTCCTGCTTATCGCGCTGTTTTTCATCTTCTGTGAGCGTGTAAAACGTACAGTGGCGATCAAAAATTTGTTGGAGGCCATGGGAGCGCGTGGCCAACAGCAGCACCACGGCGCCTTCTCACGGCTACCAGAGAAGCTCGAGAGCGCTCACTGCGCTAACGCGTCCTTTCCTATACCTGCCAGCCTGCGCTTTGGCTGCCTTAAACTGCGCGCGCACCGGAACGCCAGAAAAAAATCGCAAGGTGTCACTTTTTGCACGTGCCGCGGAAGCACCGAGCGATGATATCGTGACAAAAAGTTGAAGGACCCTTAAGCTTCGCCTGTAAGAGTTGCACGCGATAGCGAAATTCGGCCCCTAGTGCACTCTTCAACCGCTAAGTGCATACTTAATAATTGTTTTCTTACACACACACACACGCCCACAAACACGCACACAGTAGATTGGACCAGCGCGCGCTATTATCGCCGAATGGACTCGTTTTCATCGTGACACCTGTCAAACGAATTGTGTTGAATGGGCCCTGAAACACTTTTTCAAGTAAGCATGGAATGAATTCACTAGGAGAGCTTATTGCCTCACTAATTCAACGCCGCAAAAAGTTTAAGAATCCGTCCAGTGCGAGTGGAGTTACAAAGGTTTGTCGCATGCTGCAATTGCATTATCTCTTTTCTCGACCCGGCGAAAGCGCTGGAAGATAAGCAGGGAGGGGTGGCAGGGCGAAGAAACTATCGCACCTCGTGACCTTGTGCACTTTTTTTTCTTCGAACGGGCGGCTTTTTCGATGTGATCGCGTGCGCACGCGTGGACAAGTAGCGGCCTCCTGTGGCTCTCTCGGTAACTTGATTTTTCGGTCACAGACGATTTTTCGCTCACAACCAACAAGGCCGACGCTTGCGGCGGGTTTTGTGTGACACGCGCCCTCTAACGCTATCGCGTTAAAATGTCTAACTTGTAGCGAGGGGTGCTTCCACGGCACTTGCAAAAGTGACACCTAGCAATTTTTCTGGCGTTCCGGTGCGCGCGCAGTTGAAGGCAGCGAAAGCGCAGACTGGTAGGTATAGGAAAGGATGCGCTTGCGCATTGCGCGCTCTCGAGCTTCTCTGGTTGCCGTTAGAAGGCGCCGCGGTGATGTTGACCACGCACTCCCGTGGTTTCCAAAATTTCGATTGCCACTGTATACACTGTCATCCTTTATGAAAAGGAACATGCACACACGTGGTTTGCGCTTTGCGTCGGCTGCCCGCAGCACCGCAAACCGGCGTTTGAAGAAAGCACAGTCGTTATTGGCGTTATCAATCAGTAAAAAAATAACGAGCCATCTCAGGAGGACCTGCGCTGTTAGATTACGATTCCGCTCTGTTCTCGCAACGGGTGATGACGCCAAAAGCACACAAGCTTTCTTCAAGCTCTCGGTTGATGGCGGTGTGGGCAGCCCCCGCTAAGCGCACGCCGTGCGCTCACGTGTTCCGTTTCATAAAACGAAAGTATACCGCCCGGCCCAAATAACCACGTCAGCCAGGCATTTTTTTCTCGTGCAGAGTGCCTGCTGCCTGTTACACCGGGACTTCGAGCACCTGCACTTTGCCTCCCAGCATTCGGTGTCATGAAGGTGAGTTTTCAGAGCTTGTATAAGATAGCCATTAGTAGAGTTCAGGGTTACCGTTAGTTTGGACTTGGAAAAAGCGCCAGAACTGAAGCCAATAGTTGGCAAAGTATCGATTCGATTTGTGAGGTTTAACGTCCCAAAACCACCATATGATTATGAGAGACGCCGTAGTGGAGGGCTCCGGATATTTCGACCACCTGGGGTTCTTTAACGTGCGCCCAAATCTGAGCACACGGGCCTACAACATTTCCGCTTCCATCAGAAATGCAGCCGCCACAGCCGGGATGTGAACCCGCGACCTGCGGGTCAGCAGCCGAGTACCTTAGCCACTAGACCACCGCGGCGGGGCAATAGTTGGCAAAGTAGCCATGCAATTTAAATATTGTTACGGGAAGTATATGTTGACTCGTTAGATTTAGAATAAACTCGGTGGCGGACAACACGACGCCCAGCTCCCAGAGACTCTCAACGTCGTCTTCACCCTTGTGCTCTTCGTCGTTCTCTCCCTCCCGCTGCATTATTATCGCTAAACCTGTAGCCAAGTAGAGCCGGAGCAGTATTATGAACAGCCTTTACTACTGATGAATGAATAAAACCAGTTTGAATAAGTAAACACAAAAGTTTAAAGTTTAAAAGTAGCCAGAAAATATCCGTGGTGCCAACTGAACATTTTCGTCGCAACATGGATAAAAAGGTATAGCCAATTCGGAGCGAAGTAGCCACCAATGGCAAGCCTGGTGAAGTATGAAAAAAAAAAAGGACGGGGGGTGGGGGGATTACCCCGATTTTCTGTTTTAACGTCGCGTGACTGATTAAACAGCAGAGATAGTGGCGTCATTTTTAGGCCATTTTGTTTCCTTTGTCGGCTATTTTTCTTTGCTATTTCTTTTCATTCGCACTGCTTTCCTTTCGTGGGGTGTACTGCTTCTTTTCTTTCCCCTTTTATTGCCGCTCATCCCACTGATTAGGCAGCCCTCGCGATGTTACATTGGTCAAGATGGGTTAACTTTTCTTTTTTTTCGGAAGGTGGGGGTTAGTGACAACAGTCGATCAAAGCAGGAACAATACACCAGATCAATGTTGCCCACCCGAGTTTATTCTTACGTGGTCCTAAATCTAACCCCCGTATTCAGAAACGCTCCTCGACTGGAATTCCGTCCTTGACTTGAGCTGAGCACTGCGCCGCCGCTCGACCGAAATTGACGCTGCGCTTCTCAAGAATCGCTGCAGAATACTGCCGATATGCAGTGACTTGGTCTGCCAAGAGATGGCGCTTCCATCGAATTTTTCAAGTCGAGGAGAGCCCTTGAGTGAAGGAGCGTTTGCCAATACGGGGGTAAGTCTCGGAAATGATGAACTACAGTACGGCGATCGAGGACGACTTACATGCCGACGGGCCCTCGTGCGGGATGTCTGCCCGGGAGAGGTAGACGTGCAGAAGTTCGTGCACTTCCTCGGCTTCCTCTTCGCTCGAGTTTGTTGCCTTGGTGGCGTTCTTGGCCGGCTTGGGTGCCTGGTCAGTCGCCGCCACCGCCGCCGCTTTGGTGGCGTTCATCTTCATGATGGGCAACGAGACGGCGTCCGGGGTGTCGGGCTGCTGCTGGGGGACGGCACGCTTCCGACGACCCCACGACGGGAAGGTGCCGGGCCGACCACGGTCGCTGCAGATCACCTGGGAGAGAAAGCGTATGCGTTACTTAGTGGCGTCATTCAGCTCGGCATGCATAAGTATGCAGCCAGCACGGTAAAATTGTGTCGTCGGATATTACAAAATTTACAGCGGCACATAGCGTGTTGTGATGGCCACATGTAGTTACTTATTATGCGACTCACGTTTGCCCCCATGTTATACGGCACTGCCGGCAGCGCTTTTAGACCACTTCGCCCTCCTCCGGGCGTCCATCTCATGCGAAAAGACCCAGGGATCAACGTGTTAGGGATATATCGACACCCCATATTGTTTACGGGCTTAGCAGTATGTCTCTTAGAAAATGCGTGGATCAGGTTGAAGAGCTTGTTTCACAGAAAGTATTGCGTTGGCGGCGTTGGTTGTCATCGAAAAATCCTCATCATATGCCTGACCGAAAAATAGAGAACCACGCAAATAAAATAAAAAGATACAAAAAATTCACAGCACATCCACGTAAGGTTTTATGATGAGCGGGACGAAGCGTCCGTCCATCTGTGAGTGGTGGTTCGCCCAACAACATACAACGAGGGAACCACCCCCCACCCTAAGCAGCTTCGCCCCTGAAAAATCCTTCGTCACAGCGGGGATCGAACCAGGGTGGTTTGCACGGCAAGCGGATGTCCTACCACAAGACCACGCGTCTGCTTGCGAGTACAGTGAAAATAACTTTCTCTGCTTTGAAATGGAGTAAAAGTAACTATCATGCTTTGATTGATTGATTTGTGGTGTTTAATGTCCAAAAACCACCATATGATTATGCGAGACGCCGTAGTGGAGGGCTCCGGAAATTTCGACCACCTGGGGTTCTTTAACGTGCACCCAAATCTGAGCACATGGGCCTACAACATTTCCGCCTCCATCGGAAATGCAGCCGCCGCAGCCGGGATTCGATCCCGCGACCTGCGGGTCAGCAGCAGAGTACCTTAGCCACTAGACCACCGCGGCGGGGTGGTGCATGGCAAGTTGTAAAAGGTTTTATGCACTAAGTGTTTGAAGTGTGAAGTACGTATTAAAAACAGGACATTGCCGTCGCGTTCAACTCTTAAAGGCGAAGCTTTATGGCTCGCATTTTTTTTTACTAGAGTATGGGAGCAATAAGAAGTGGGTGCGGTAACATGAACAATTGTCCGGTTTCCAACGCTTTAATGAAGACAGGATGTAGGAACCACAGAGACATAAAAAAAGGAAGGCGAGAGAAAGAGAGTACATGCGCACAATTGCTGTTCACAGCACGTGACGACACTTAGGCAGTGCTACAGTCGCTCATGCTCCTCTGTCTAAGCACTCCAAGTTTACGCACAAGATGCAACGAAAATTTTTCTACACACACACACTAAATGCGATATAGTTTATGTGGAAGCGTCAGTGTTTACGCAAAATAGACCAGGGATCTTCTCAATCACACATAAAGCAGCATCTGAAAAATATTTTCTTAGATATTAGATCACTCGCATTCTTGCAAACAGTTATGTCTCTCTCTTTCAACGCACAACATTGCTAGACTTGAATGATTTATTGTTTCATTAAGAACTCAAAGATTTTTTACGTATTCACTTATGACGACTCAAATGCAAACTCTATATTCTCTTTTTTGGTCAAGGATATATCGATCCTCCACCGCCCGCCCATAAAGCTTTCTGCACATAACGTGATTTTCATTCCATCTAGGATCGGAGGCATTGCAAGTTTTCCGGCGCCGATGGTGAATTTTTGCGTCTGATGAAGCGTTTAAGCCTTAGAATGTTAGCAACACATGTACATCACTGGGAACAACATAGTATCAGATCTATGAGTGAATAAAAATTATTACGCCGTAAAAAACGGAAGGTGGACCATTTCCTTCTTGCATATCTTGCATATGTTTACGCGGAATGACGCATTACAAATAAGTTGCGTCGGATATTGCATATTACCGGCTCGCAAGGGCCGCGACACGTCCTCACTGTCGCCTGGAAGACGAGCAGGTTCGAATCCGGTATCTTGAAGGCGTAGAACTCTGCTTCCAGCGCCCCGTCCGGAGCCTTGTGGAGCTCGGGAAACACGTACAAGTCGACGGGGCAACTGCGATCAAGGTATGCAAGCAGATAGGATGCACGTATAGGATATAAGACATATAGGATATAAGCATATAGGATACACGTCCTTGAAGAAAGAATGCAATAAGAAATGAGATGTGTTGCTTTATCGCGAATCGCGCCCTAATCGGTCATTCCAGCGAAGCAGGCGGCGCCATGTATAGCCGCGCTCCGAAGCTGTGACACGGTGATAATCTGTGGCGCAGTTCGGTCTCTCAGTACTAATGAACCAATGAACGCGTCTTCACACTCTGCGACGTTGATATGCACGCTCGCGACATCACCGTCCTGTCCGCCATTTCGACGTACCGTTGCGCCGCCTATAGTCGCTGGAACGGTCGAATTGCGCCGGCTGAAAGACGGCAAAGCAAGTTGATGTCGACGGCGTCTTACCTGTAGATGGAGTTTCCCCACTAACTTTTTAGATGCGGAGCATCTAATACTCAAGGCTTGTAGTGCGGCGCCGTCCGCAAGCTTCCTCCTTCTTCTTCCACCATCTGCGCATCCCTTCCTCCTCTACACACCGCGCGCGCTTCACTCCTCCACCATCTGTGCACCCTTCCTCCTCTACACACCGCGTGCGCTTCTCCTCTTCACGAACATTCGCTAGCTGTATAATGTAGCGCGCATGCGCCGTCACGCTTCGAGAACATCGGCAGCTGACGCGCGCGCATGCGCCGTCACGCTTCGAGAACATCGGCAGCTGACGCGCGCGCATGCGCCGTTGCGCTTCTCCCCCTTCTCGAACATTCGACAGCTGACAGTGCATGCGCCGTCGCGCTGTATATATACTCAAGGTCGGTGCTCGCTCGCTCAGTTGCCGCTCGTCGGTTGGTTTGTACGGCGCGTCGACGTCCAAGGTCGCGGTGAAATGAATTCCAACGAATCCACAAACACAATGATCGACGTCCCTTCGACCAGCGCCGCCCTTTCGCATACGTGTGTACGTGTTCACTCATTTAACACCCCCTCCTACATTCACGCTAACCAATTTAGCCATCGACCCAAGTAAGTCGCAATTTAACACCCCATTTCACAACCACGTTAACCAATTTAGCCATCGACCCAAGTAAGTCGCACTTTAACACCCCGTTAACAAATTATATGCTCCGCATCCTCCTCAGTGTTCCCCTGAGGGAAGCTGCGGGCAATTTTTTGCTTTTTTTTTTCAAAAGTCAGCAAGAACTGCTGTCAAGTGTTTCATTAGAAGCTCAAAATAATAAAACGCTATTTCTTTCCGAAACTTGCAGCAAAAGCTGTGTATGTAATGGTACATCCGTAGGCGTGCGTGCGCTAAGAGGAGGAAAGAAACGCAGCCCCAAGTCCCCCACCCTGCCCTAATAAGTAAGGGGTGCGGGCTGAAGTCTGTCCTAGTACCGTTCATTACTCGGAGAACAAAGGTATGGCCATGCCGGTTTTCGACAATAATGGAGGTTGACTGCGCTTAATGCGGCTCTCCAGCAAGCGTGTATACCTCCCACCTCGATTCCCAAGAATCCAGGGATCAAAAGCAGGTCATTGTGAAAAGCATATAACCATCTCACTTTCATTTTTTCTTTCATTTGTGTGAAGCATGTTGTCTCTCGAACTCGATCAACCGCGAAAGCAGGAGTAAGGGGGAAGGAGTAAGATGTCTGAAGTGAAACTGCCCCCCTTAACGGGAGAAACCTGCGAACATAGGCGTGCGCAGGATTCTCCTTCAGGGGGAGGAGAGGGAGACGGAAGTTCGTCACAGTGGAGACATTCTGACGCGAGTCCTGGAACGAGCGGAAAGTGTCATCGAGAAGCACGGCCTGGCAACCTTCGTGGCTTATTATGCCCTTAGTCCTCACCCCTTCGATTTATGGTAAAGTTGTTACTGACTCATCACAGCACCCCCCCTCCCGTCCTTATCATGTCAATGTATAGGGCTGACTTCTCGTTCCTTTCTTTGATGAAAAGGGGGGCCGGCCGCCCCCCTTTCCTTACACCGCTGTCGTGCGCATGTCTGTGCCCGCGAAACTCTCATGAGTATATCGCAAAATAAATATGTTTCTATAATATTGCAAACAAGATGCGCACTTAACTGTACTAGCGCTCACAATGGTGGAAGCACCGTGGAGTCTGCAGATTTTAGGGAAGAAACGTACCCTCTGGAGTCGATGAGGTGAACCTGCCGTCCGGAGTAGGGGTCCTTGGCAATCACGTTGGTGGCAAAGATGTCGCTGTAGAAGTCGAATTGGTCTGCGAAGGAGATGGTGTGTTAGCCTTATACGGCGAGTCGACCGCCTCAAGTTCGGAGCGGCACTTACACTTTCCCCTTGCCTCTAGCCTGAATGTCAGCAAGTCCCCTACGGCGATGGTGGTCGTCGGAGTGCCCCGGTACAGGATGCGCAGCTGCACGTTCGAGGTCAGGATGTTCTGCGCCGGCAGGTGCTCGATCTGCGTCGGGTATCGGCTGTGGCCGATTCGACAGGAGTTATCATTGTAGGGGTGCTGAGTTTTTGAAGACGAGCTAACTTGAGGGACAGATTTTAATTCCCACAGGGGCATCATCTACGAAATATCAATGAATAATCTAGCTTAGAGCATATCTAAAATCGACAATAGAGTGCGTGTCGTGCCATTGCACGCGAAACTCTCCTTTGCTTTTCGCACACGAAAACGTGGGTGGAGGTTGTGCTTGTGATGCAAGAGGCGGTTGTGATTACGTGTAAATACAACCGCCACCAGCGTCATGAGCACAGTGTAAGGTACACCGAGGTCATGAGCCTTGTGTTGCATGCTACTGTTCTACCAAGTGCTCTCTCTCTCTCTAAAAACCTTTTCAGCGTAAATAGGTAGATGTGGGGGGGGGGGGGGGCAGACTTGCACGCCCTTGCCTCGCCAGATGCATATTTGGGAGCCGCACATAAATGTACAATCTTCCAGAACGGATTTAGCAGCACACATGCGTAGTGCCTTCGTTGAAAAGAGTTTCGACCGTGGCGCTGATGTGCACATGGTCTTGTGTGCCCACCCAGCCGGCTACGTTTACATGAAGACCACTCTTAGTCGTGCCGTCTAAAACCGAAACGCCGACTGGACGCTATGAAACCGTCTACAAATAATCAACCGTGGCGTGTTCGAGCAAATGATTTCTCAAGCCGTGATGTGGTAGGCGTCAGCTACCCAACACAACAGAAAACACAAGATGCAATATTTTTGTGTGAGCGCACCTGTAAGGTAGAACGTTGGGAACGTTGAGGTGTATTGATGATGTCAAACAGCGCAAATTGCATTGTATGAAAAGTAAACATAGGCAGTCCGCTTCGGTTGATCAGTGTTGCCTAGCGTGCTCACCCGAAGTTAGCGGGTTTCATCTCGACCGTGGTGGTCGAATTTCGAGTGAAGCGGTGGTAGCGGCCCGAGTAATGTGCGACTTTGAAATGGCTATTTTTTTTTCACACCCTAGCTACACCCCTGGCCTCAGGTGAGAACAACGAGCCACTCTGGCATGCCTGCGTCTCCTCCGAAATCTGTTACCTTCTGCATTATGTGTCTCCTTCGTGAAGTACATGGGTGTCAAATAACCTCACATACACAACCAGATGAGAGACGTGACATCAGAGGTGTCCGGCTCTCGTGATGGGAGGCAACAATTCCTGAGCATAGTTGTCGCTGGACGTTGTGGTCCATGTTAGCTCACGGTTTCGGGTTTGGGCACGGAGCGGATACCCGAAGGTCCTCGAAAGGAGCTCGTCGACAATCGGGAGCTCCACACGACACCAGTTGGCTACTACCAAAAGTCGCGTCTAATTAGTACCGAACCCTAGTGTTATCATGTATGTCGGCTTGCAACGTACAATCCGATGGGTCATCTAATGGCCGTGCGAATGTAACGTGAACTAAGGTCGGATTAACGAGAAGGTCTGCTGGGAACATAGCTCGCTCATGGTGGAATTATTATTGAGTTCGTAGTGGTGGACTCGTACAACTTCTCTTATATATATAGAGAGAACACAAATAGAAAGGGAGGGAGGTTAACCAGGGCTGAGCCCCGGTAGGCTACCCTGCACTGAGGTGGGGGAGGAAAAGGAGAACACGCATACAGGTGTAAGTGCCCTAAATGGCATGGATGTTTGTAGTCCAAACTGTGGCCCAGAGAGTGGGTTTTGTCGTTTTTCTTTTCAAAAATGTGCTTTCCTCTGTCGTATCGCACATGAACTCTACGTCGAGGCGAAAGTACTTTGCCGCACGTAAGGTTACATTCAAATGCGTAAATAATGAAACCAGTTAATCAGCTTTAATTCTAAACTTCAGGGCATTTCTTTGGGCTGCAAAGTTGTAGGGTGTGCTATCTGTTGCGTATACGTTTTTTTTTTAAATCTTAAAAAAACGCACGTAACTGCATATAATAACAATGCGAAATTAAACGTCTGCAGTCAGGCGAATTTTTTTTTTGCGCTGATCATGATGAGTACTGATCAGCACTTCATTACAATACGGACATGTGCTACTGGGTTTTATCATGTTAAGTTTATTTTCGTGAATTGACATGACGTTTAGAGAGACTTCTGCTGGACAGAACACAAAAGTCGCTTTCAGATGCAACAGAATCACCCCCCCCCCCCCTCGTGCCTCTGGGTAGGCCTTTCGGAGGAGCTCTTCGCGTTCGTAGACACCCTTGAAATCACTTTCTCAAAGTGGCTTAGCTACAACGAGCTTCACAGTGACAGCTTGAAAGAACTTGTTTTGTTTTCTGCTTGCAAAAGAAAAAAAAAAACGTCACACTGGGCTGTGCACAACATAGTCAGAGCCTCACCAATTATGTGACCCAAGTTTTTTCTGCCCACCCATTTTCGCTTTTACACAAAGGCACTCCACGAAGAGCGAGCATCTTCCCGTGAAAAAAAGAAAGTACCTGACTTTCAAACACGTCACCCAGGAAAAGGAAACAATGTCCTGTGGTGCGCTTGTGAAGCACAAGTCTTTTTCTTTTTTGAAGACGTGCGACCAATTAAGAGTGCAAACAACTAGTGAGTCACTACTCGGAAATGCGTTGTATGATCAGTGTGCGGATAAGAAATTGCTTTCATCCAGATACCGCTCGATATTCTCGTCTCTAAATGTTCGATTATGCGTAGCAGAAGTAGCTATAACAAGCCATGCACGTTACGAATAATGGGGCTTTATTCGCAGATTAGCGCTTGAAGAAAATATGGTTCGCCGTGGAAGGTGTTGCGAGCGATATGGCTCACAACTAAGTTCATCGTTGCACTCTTCTACCACTTCACGTCGATAAAATGTTTCAGTGCCGTGACGCGCTGACTATCGGCACCCTGTCAATATTTCAGTTCAGTCGCGCACCCGCTCGGGCATCCTGTAATTACAGAACTTAATTAACATATTGGCTCGGTCGCTATTTGAGGTCATGTACGAGCAACAAAATATATTTTAAATGTTTCACATTGCCCGCACGCGTGGTTTACTCCCGTCTCTGCGCAGTGCATCGCCGCTTTGGGTAACGTGGATGGATGGATATGGCTGTACCCTTTAGATCGGGCGGTGGCTAGCGCCACCAAGCCGTAATACTTAGTGAACCAAAAACTAGATTTATTTTTTCCCTTTAACTAGTGAGGTTGAGGACTCCTACTTTGCAGTGAAGGGTTTAATTTTCACTCGTGCCTTGACTTAAGCCGCCAATCAGATAACCTCCTTCTAGTTAATTCTACCCGCTTAAAGTCTATTTTGCCCTCACTGTCCCTAAACCCCAGTGCTTTGAAAACCTCTGCGCCATCATCCTGAACTATAGGGTGAAGCCCTTCACACAACCTTATCAAGTGTTCGGCAGTTTCCTCTTCCTCTCCACACGCACTGCATATACTGTGTCTACCCCTTCGTATTTGGCCCGATATGTCTTGGTTCGCAGTACTCCCGTCCTGGCCTCAAACAGTAGAGAGCTACCCCGAGTATTATCATAGATCCTTTCCTTGCCAATTTCCTGCCTAAAAGATCAATAGATCTCTATAGCCGACTTCATAATCATGCCGATTCTCCACATATTGGTGTCAGCTTCCTTCACCTTCTTCTTAACCGATAATTCTTTTTGATTTGGCCCCCTGCTATTTTCTAAGTATTTACCAGTCAATTTTCTGGTTCGCTTCCTCTAAACTGGCTCACGTTTGCACACGTGCGAACGTGTGCCAGCGCTACCTGGCGGTTTCCTTCCAAGGCGTTACGCGCCAGCCGGCGCGTTCATCACACTTCCCTATTCTAGCCACTGTAACTGCGCAGCGCCTGAAGCAGTAAGTGCCTTCGCCAGCTACTTTTCCTCTTCTTCCCTCTCTCCCTTCAGCATGTAAGAAACCGCGGTTCTCGTGGCTTTCTAGCAGGTCTCCTCTGAATGCATATCCGCTTGAAGGGATTCGAGCCTCTTATCTTGCCCTCAGGCGACAATAATGGCGAGTCACTGAGGCATGCGTACAGAAACGTCTCCTTAGAGAACTCTTCCCTTCTGCATTATGTGTTGGCTTCGAGAAGTATATAGGTGTCGAATAACCTTACATACACAACCAGCTTAGAGACGAGACATCAAAAGTGTCCGGCTCTCGTGATGGGAGGCAACAATTCCTGGGCATTGTTGTCGCTGGCCGTTGTGGCCGATGTTAGCTCGGTGCTGTCTTAATTTCCGGGTTTGGGCACGGAGCGAATACTCGAAGGTCTTCGAAGGGAGCTCGTCGACAATCGGGAGCTCCACACGACACCAGTTGGCTACTACCAAAAGTCGCGTCTAATTAGTACCCACCCTAGTGTTATCCTGGCTGTCGGCTTGCAACGTACAATCCGATAGGCCATCTAATGGCCGTAGGCATGTTATAAGTACTAAGGTGGGACTACGGAGAACGTCCACTGGGAAAGGTGAAACGTCTCGGTAGCGAGGCGCATCAGGTCTCTTTTTATGTTTCTGATATGGAAGTTATGATTTATTTATTTATTTATTTATTTATTTATTTATTTATTTATTTATTTATTTATTTATTTATTTATTTATTTATTTATTACAATACTGCTGGTCTGATCTTCAGACCTTAGGCAGGAGTGGGTACAATGAATACAAAAAAAAAAACAATTGCTTAGAGTAAACACACATCAATATACAATAACAACAAAATAAGGTGAATACATTGAATTCATACAAGCAAAGCAGCAACATATTTAGATTACTAGTAAAAACATGAATACGTAAACACATGGAAGAAAAAGAGCATCAGGGTACCTGTAAAACTCTGTCAGTGCTATATCCCATGGACTGAAGTGAGTTCGTATTGGTGGACTCGTGCAATTTAACTTGTATGCTTATGTAAGTGCCCTATAAGGCATGCAACTTTGAATTTCGAAGACACTATCTGACGTATATACAGTATTTTTTTGTTGTGTATACAATACAATATTTTCTTCGTAAAAATGCTGTCACAGTTGCGCACCTCTAATCTTCGCACACGAAATCTATGGAAAGACGGAAATACTTTGCCGCACCTGAAGGTATAATCTGGTCACTAACTAATAAATGTCGTTTCTTAACTTTTAAATATTAACTCAATGATATCTGTTTATACGGGAAAGCTATAAGGCGGTACATCATTTTTGATATAACCATTCTCTTAAACTAGTTTTCTTTTTTGTAATGGGGATTTGACATACCCATTGCTTAACCCGTGAAAAGCACTTAATTTTATATGTCAATAATCGATATGCAACGCTTTGATCCTGGTGATACTGATATAGAGTCCGAGGGGCGTGTCATGCTGCCACGTAAGGAACATGATAATAATTGATAGGGTTTAGCGCCCCAAAACCACGATGTTTTAATGAGGACCATCGTAGTGGAGGGCTCCAGAAAGTTAGATTACCTGGGGTTCTTTAACGTGCACCAAGTGCACGGGCCTCACGCATTTTCGCCTGCATTGAAAATGCAGTCGCCGTGGTAGGGATTCAATTTTGCGACCTGCCACCTTAACGAGGGGCTGACTGGTCTATTCAATGAACAGGCCTTTGAGTCGTGAGAGTGTGGGCCCGAAATCCTTGGCTCCCGATAGAGGCACTCTGTGCCTCTATCGTGTCCTTTGCCGTTGTTGCGAGTGTGGCACAAAGCACGTCATGACATTAGTCTGACAGCTCAGTTTTTGTCGTAATTACTCTTGGAACACCGGACTCAGGGTGTGTCCCACGCCCATTTTAACCATTCAACAACCACAATTTCACTCCCACTCTCTCGATCTAATCTTAAAACGCCCAAGAGCACTAACCACACGTACGCGTCATAGTGCCTAATCGCATGGCCTGTATACTCGGCATCGCTTCGCGTTCCATGTCAACACGTGCTCCGGCCTCTTCGACTGACACTGACGCTTAGTATCGCGAGCTGGCGCGTCCCGACGCCTACGTGTGGTCGATGCTTAATCTTTGCACGCCCCACCCCACGCTGGACACGCGCTGCTGACTCGTACGAAGTTTCGCTTATGGGAAAGATTACGCGCATAATAGACACTCACGAAGAAGAGATCGACGGGACGACTGCTGTCTTGCCCCGCGTATGGCGATTGAGCACAAAAGAGGCACTCACAAAAAACAATTCACACCATCTTTCTGAAAGAAACCCTGATGGGATGCGAAGCAGTAGGGTTGCGCACGGATGAGATCAGAGTTCTTGACTCGCGCCTCGTCGGGTTCGTTGGTCTTCCACTGTCGATGCTTCCATTGGGATTCCCTGTTTCGCGCCTTGTCGGTGTTGCAGGCACGACGTCGCCATTCGCGAACGCGATCAGCTTTCATAACCCTCGCAACGCCGGCGACTGCTGGGTTAGGCGTTATCGCTTCGGCGGATGTTTCGTCGGGCGAAAAAGCGTCGTCTTCCGTCCTCTCCATCGCATATAAACGAGCCGAAATAGTGTTACCACTCGATGTGTGCTCGAGCGTTGCGAGGGAGGGAGAAGGTGAAGTGAGAAGAAGTTAAAACGTACTACATGTTTCAACGTGTACGTTAGGCGCGCGTCGCGTTTGTTGCGCGTCAACTGACGAGTCGGCGGTGTCGCGAGCCGTGGTAGTGGCCGGTGCTGCAGACGAATGGACGAGGCGGCAGCTGAGGTGCTGCGGCGAGCGTGCGGCAGGTGAGGGAGAAAGTGACGTCAGCGCGCACTGCGAGAGGAGTGTGACGTCAACACGCATCTGTGGCGTGACCTACTTGGCACCGCTCCGACACCTGTGGCGAGGGGAGCGCGTTGCAGCACGTTCTTATGGACGCACGAAGGGACAGCGTTACACAGACTAGTAAAAAAAAACTTCTTCGCATCTAAAAAAGTACACAGAACAGGCGCTGTTCGGTCCTGTGCGTCTCAGGTTTGTGGCTGTCTTTTCTCTGCTTAATATTTGCGAACATTGCCACGACAAGTCCTCCCAATCTGTTACGCATCGAAAAACAAAGATCTTACCCATCGGTCCTAGTGTCCAGGTAATTGGAAGTTACGACGGCCTCACCAGGTCCGGAGAAGTAGCACGTGAGGTTGTATTTTTTGTCTCTGCTTGTTTGCACATAGTCGTTGAATTGGACCACGACGATGTTTGTCATCACGTCGCCATACTGCAAGAGGTTTAATAGTTCACGCTTAATGAAAAAGTCACAGCATATTCATGGATTGAATGATGATGAGTGGGGCGAAGCACCCATCCGTCTGTCTGTCTCTCTTTCCGTCCGCCCTTATCACAATAGAGCACGCATTGGACGGATGGACGGACGCTTCGCCCCACTCATCATCGTTCACTCCGTGGATATGCTGTGATTTTCTTAATATACAGCGCCGCGTATCCTTTATTGTGCTATACGAAAACCACTAACGGCATCTAGTGATATTTCTAAGGACATATACTTACAATGACATCTAGTGATATTTCGAAGGACATATACTTACAATGACATCTAGTGAGGAATTCATAAACTAGAGGTTGCCGCACACGTAAGGAGGAAGGAACGACCCACACCCTAAGGAGAAGTAATATTGAAAAAGTTGCCAGATTTTCGTTAGTTCCTATAAAATCGTATATACTGAGGAAGCGAGTTTAGGCAGTTTTTTAATAGAATATACTTGTGCTCTTACTAGCAGCTTCGATGTGTGCATCTCTTCGGCGATAAGAAAATGACTACGTTGGCCTGCCAAGGGCTGCAGTAAAATGTAGAACACTTGCGCCGAAAACTCCAATTCAAAAACTTTAGCTCATGGTGTTTTGAACTGCGCATATAAAACTGCTTTATTAGATCCGTTTTCGAGTCGCTGTAATGCAATTATAATACAAAATTACGTTTGATTGCTGTAATGAGTAATATAATGAATTACCCACTTTTTGTGTGGTTAAACTACTAATGTGACGAATTATATTCTTGCGGGTAACTTCAGTAAAATGGCTCATTACTTACCCAATTACTTTTGACTAAAATTACGGCACGTTTGCCTCCTGTATGACATAAAAAATTCGCCAAAATAGCAAAATAAAACAGCGTATAACCTGAGCACCACACCTGAAAAGTGAGAAGTTCTACAAAGAGATCGGAAACTTCAACTTATATGTGCTGCAAATATAGCATACAGTACAGTAGCTGTGCATGACATATGAATATTTATTAATGCAATTTAAACCTAATGGTGAAATAAGTCATTACTCTCAGCCATCTAAACTTAACAAAATTTGGACACCTTCTACAAACATCAGAAAAGTGATTATTGCAATAGCATTTCAAGAGTAATTTTGTCATTTCTGGTGGTCGGTGACTTGCCTGCTGGGTGCCACAGCGTGGAAACCCGTTGGCCCGGCTTATCCGCAGCACGTTGACACTTCCTCCGTTTCCGTCATAGAAGCACGAGTCGTAGAAACCGTACGTGTAGATCCGGCCGTAGAAGCCGTCCACGGTTCTCAGGGTAAACTCCATCCCGTCTGGCGTGCATGTCTGGCTCACTGCGAATCGAAACGCGCCTCGTCACTCACAGGCGCAGTTCATGCGTGTGAAGCATGGAAGAGGTGGTCAAGCCCAGAAAGCGGTGAAACGTCCTTTGAATCTTTCTTACCAGAATCGCAAAAAGAGAAAAAGCTTTTGAGTGTTGGCATATCGAACTGTACTACACTCGGTGACCACCTAGAAGTTCAATGCAAGTTCGCCCCACGAAACCACGGTGAACTTGTCCATCATAGGTCCCCCTAAGAGGTGTAAAAGTTCAGAGTTCTAGAAAGTTTCAGGTAGGAGCACAAGAAGAGAGAAAGGCACATGGAAAAGGCTGGACTTACAACTCAATTCCTCGCTCCTTGTTCTCTCGTACAAAACACTCTGGAACACTTCGCTTTCACGTGATGTACCAGGTGGCCCAGAACACTACACTGATAAACACTTAACCTGCAAACGGCGTATTTGAAGGCACTTGCCGTCTAAGCAGTCTCCTGCAGCACCACCAGGGCCGTGTCCGAGGTCGTCCCGTTCGTAGTAGTCAAACTGCGTGCTCTGATCGAAGTGGGCCGGGTTGCTGAGCTGTAGCTGTCGGGAGTCGTAGTCGCTCAGCTCACAATTGTCCGGGAAGAACGCCCTAGAAGACGCGAACAGTGGCGACTGTGGTAATGGACAAATAGAGTGAAGCGTATGCAGCGTCCTATTTAGAAGTCCACCGTTGCTTTCACACACGAGATCGAAAAGACAAGAAAAGGAGCAAAGCAGGCGTACGCGACGTCATATCATGCAAAAATGAAAACTAGGAGGAAGCGTCGCGTGATTCTGCTAGCCTCGGCATGCCAACCTGCTTAGAAGCCGCCTCGCCCAATGAGTGCGTTGTACCTCCTGGGTTACGTAAAGGCCCAGCGGCGCTCGCAGCACACGCAACCGAATCGAGCCGACCAATAGTATAAATCTTACCTGTCACGTGATCAGAACCTATTTCTCCCTTCAATATTTTGCTGCAAAATTTGCTACAAAGTTTCAAAATTGTGACGTGACGCTGTCTTCTAGTTTTTCCTTCCTATGCGTTGTACCCATGAATATTGATGCTACTCGAGTATTGACCCCTCCGAAGGCGGGTTCACGTAGCGCCGAGCATATTGTGTAACCTCACCTCTGTGCATACGTTTTATTGTGCGAGGCACAGTACACGCAGAGGTGTATACATCAACGTTGCGGATACGTGGGTGGATCGGTTTCCGCTGCAAAGGGCACTCAAGGTTCACCGTTCCCTACAGTCAATGGTCATCCCCTTTCCCCATAGCCTGGTTTTTCTGCTCTAGAATGTGATAGCATCTGCGAAATTCAAAACGTGCGGTGTATTTTTACAGAAGCTTATTGTTTGAGTGTGTCGTATAATGGATGATAAGAGAGCAAACGTTATCGTAGTGTGCTGATTCTACACAACAGAGCCGGAGGACTAACGCTACACGATAGGACTGGTAGAATAGGTAGCTCTTTGACCAGCTGACTAATGGCGCGGGGGAAATGTTAGAAAATGTTCTAGTATGCTCTTGGGAAACTGGTGGTCGATTCAATGGTGTTAAGTGCCAGACATGCCGAGCAGATTCTCACCTGAAGTTGAAGGATTTGCAGTGAATGTCTTGAGCTTCGGAACAAGCCTGTTCGCACTCTTCGAGCCGCTCGGTGCGCACCACCCGCCTCACGTAGAAGCTCTTAAGCCTCGTCCCATAGCCGACGCGCCGGAACACGGCCGACGAGAACTTGCACTTCTCCGCCAAACCTGGGGGTAGTGGTGGTGCGAACGGTGGAGGTGGTGGGCCTCCCGCCACGGGAGGCAGCGGTTGGTGGGGAACGTGCGCAGGCGGGGGAGGTGGAGGGTGGGCGGGAAACGCGCCTGCACCTCCGTGGATCGGTGGCACCACGCCACCCGCTCCCGCCGAAGCTCCACCGGGCACTCCGCCATAGGCACTGCCGCCGTAACCCCCGCTCCCGTAGCCGCCTCCCGAAAATCCTCCGGCAGCGACGGAACTGCCACCGTAGCCACTGCTGCCGCTATTCCAGGACCCGCTTCCGTAACCACCGTAGCTACCCGTCGAGTAGACTCCTGAACCGTAGCTTCCCGATGACGACCCGTAGCCACCACTCGCCGAAGCGATCGAAGAGCCACGTCCTGGGAGCGGGTGGTAGCTGGTCGCGGGCCAGCGTCCGTGGGGGTAACTGGGTGGCTCGTAGCCGCCGCCACTGGGTACACCAGAAGACGGGTAGCCCCGGTGAGTGGCGTGTATGCCGTGCCAGCCATGGTGATAGCCACCAGAGCCACCGGTGCCGATGTGGCCACCAACGTGGCCACCAATGTGGCCACCAACGTGGCCACCGACGTGGCCGCCGACGTGGCTACCGAAGCCAGGCGATGGGGGTGGCGGACCGTAGCCACCGCCACCTCCTGGACCTGTGCCGAAACCGGGAACGGCTCCTGCGGCTACTCCACCGCCCCCACTGGTTCCTCCGCCAATTCCGGGTCCGTAGCCGTGGCCTCCGGCATGACCGGCACTCCGATCTGCTGGCAAAATGAACGCAACAGACGACTGAAAGCGTTGAAGCATTTGAATCGCAAGATTAGCTGCTTAGTACGGCAGATGGTAGGGAGATTTAGTATGCCGGAAGACGCTTACGTTAGCGTTAGCGTGTGTCTCCGCGCCAACGCTAAAACAAAACGCGCTACCTGCCAACTTCCTGGCCGTTTTTTAGTACAGCGGGAGGCATTCCCGCAAACGCAAACGCAAGCCCACGACATCTAGTTATAAAAACAGTATATGCACATTAGAAACACCATTGCGCCATTAAATCGAGTTGACCCGAAGTCACCATCGATACGTCTCCGTGTCGCGTTTGGTTCAATGTTGCGTCTGACGGCCCGAAAATCATCGTTTTCTTTCGACATATGCTGTAATTGAGTATTGCTCAAGACTCCTATTACCTGGCTTAGTTTGACTTGTGGCCGCATTTGCCTTATCTTGGAGACAAGGTAATGACTAGAGCGTTGCCGTCTCTGCGTTGCTATTGAAAACATGAGCGAACCTCGTAGACAATATTTTTAAGCCTTCTGCACCCCAAATCGAGTGTGTACCTCAAAAACATAGTTCTCCTATTGGCAGTATACAACTGGCGAAACCTCATTACTTAAATCTAAACAAAATACGATCATTATTTGGGAGTGAAAGAGTTTAACAAGGCAGGCTGACGACAATAAAGATTTGACGTGGACGGCTCTCGCTTCAATAGGCACAGCCATCTTGCACTCATACGGGATCTCTTGCGTGCGTCAGCGTTGAACGCTAAATATGACAGAAATGGCGTTCGTACGTAAGAGTTTGGGCTTCGTTAGCGTTTGGCATATGCTCAGTTTAGAGAACGCAACGATAACGCTAACGCTTAATTCTTGCGTATGCTGCTTTGCGCTATACCAAACCTCTATTTTCATAAATGGTTGTGTGAAACGTATGAAGCTAGTGGTGCATGCGATCGCAATAAGTTCTGGTGCTGCATCATCATATTCCCCACATTCCGAAAACTTTCAGTGTTGTCGCTTCTTCTGTGAGTGTATACCTGTTTCTACATTATACTATGTTTTCATTTCGGAGAGACTCCGAACTCCGCGAAGGAGAAAGATGGCTATTACGTACTGCTATAAGCGCTGTGAATGCCCACTCTGCATGGTGGTATTTTCATCTATCTATCTATCTATCTATCTATCTATCTATCTATCTATCTATCTATCTATCTATCTATCTATCTATCTATCTATCTATCTCAATAGAGGCCTACTGAATCTTACTTTTGCCCGTATTACTATTCTAATACGCGATTTCCCACAAATCTAGGAACTTTATCCCCTCTTATTACTTAGAATGGTACACCAGTTTTCCAGTCAGCTCCCTGGGATGCTAGAGTTACCTATTTAAACGACTGACAGTAACATCTTTACGAACTGAGGATGGCGTTGCTCCGTTCTAGTACATATTCTTTGTCGCGCTTTCTCCTCGCTTGGCACCTTTTATGGTGATGGTCGCCAGCTTTCATAACGGCGTATATTCACTGAGCGACTGTCTAGACTACATACCCGGTCATTACCTTTAACGTTAAATGTACTGTCACGCCATGCGCTGAAGACCTGTGACCTGGTGTATTCTGTAGGGATTCTTGAGTAGCGATAACTATACGCGGCGCCTTTATTCCTTACGTCCCACTCGTCCATCTCTCTTCCAAACACAGGTTCATTTCGTACCTATCAACGATAATCACTTTCACTTATGTCATGCTTCATTGTTGGTGATGGGGGTGATCATGATGATTTTTATTCCATTCGTATCGGAGCAGTGACATAGTCGTTTAACCTTAATTCCAGTTTGACTCAAAAGGCGGCATCCGTAGTCATGGACCTGCTTAGGTCGTTGAATGCGAGGGCGTACCAAGAGACATGGCCGTTGAGGGAAGGGGTGTTCACTCCCCTTCCCCCTGGAATGTTCACTTTTCTCGCGTATACATGCACACCCACATACAAACGCACACACGAAAATTCATAAACTATCGCAAAACAATCCCTCCCCTCTCGAAAATCTCTGGCTGCGCCACTGGTCAAGTGGTTATTGTACTTGACTGGTGATCTGAAAGTCGCGTATCGGCCCGTGTGCTTAGATTTTGGCGCGCCTTAAAGGGGTACTAACACAAAATTTAGCGGGCGAGATAGTCTATGGAACATTCCTGTATCATCTGCAACATATCTACAGCCAATATAGCTGGGAAGGTTTTTTTTAAAGAGTTTTGAAGTTTACGTGAGCCCTCTGCTTCATCGTGCCATTACAACATCGAAGGCGGCCCTTTGAAGACTCCTTACTTCCCTCACGTCACCACTCTGTTAGTGAACAAAACCAGTTATGATGATGTCATAGCCGCCATTTTGTATTTGGCGTGTTTGTTCCCTTGGTCTATTATATTCCTCGGCGGCTGGTTGCGAGTGCGTGGCCGTGGCACACGCTTAGAAAATTTTGTGTTTGGCGACATTGCAGCGCCGTTTCCTATTCGAAAGCAATTCTTGATGCGGACCGTGCGGAAGTGTGTCACAGTTCTGTGTGCTGACGTGGTCAAGAGCTGCACACGCTAGGTGGCGACAGTTGAACCCAGTTTTTTGGAGCTCTCTCAAACCGAAACTGAAACTGATGGATAATGAGGGGCATGTAATTAATCATCTTTCGCGTACTGCAAAAAGCGATGTGTCGCGTCATGACTAACAGGCCCCCAACAACGCATTGCAGCAGAATAACGCCAGGCCAAAGTTTTTGCGTCAGTACCCCTTTAAAGAGCCTCAGGTGGTTGAAATTTCCCGAACCCCTACATTACAGCGTCACTCTTAACCATATCATTGTTCCGAGACGTAAATGCTCCACAAGTCTTATTGATTATGCCATCATTAGTCACGGGGATCATGCAAACCAAAGTGGCCACTAAAACGTGGTTAAGTAAAACTTGCAGCTGGGCGACTTGTTTCAATGTTCAAGAGAAACCACCTTTTCTGTGTCCTTCTCTTTAATCTGCGCCCCGCCGCGGTGGTCTAGTGGCTAAGGTACTCGGCTGCTGACCCGCAGGTCGCGGGTTCGAATCCCGGCTGCGGCGGCTGTATTTCCGATGGAGGCGGAAATGCCGTAGGCCCGTGTGCTCAGATTTGGGTGCACGTTAAAGAACCCGAGGTGGTCAAAATTTCCGGAGCCCTCCACTACGGCGTCTCTTATAATCATATGGTGGTTTTGGGACGTTAAACCCCACAAATCAATCAATCGCTTTAATCTGCAGACACTAGTTTATCTGGCAAGGAGGCAATACAGCTACCACATAGCACCTTCACCGTAGGAAACAATGTCGCGTTCGGTGCCTGTCCCTGAAGATGCCAATCGACATGTCGAGATGCGAGTTGGAACGCTACAGCTGGAAAATTTTCAGTATATTTGGTACCAGATACTACACTAAATTTCGTGACCACTCTCGGCACGCGTGTTGCTATGTCGTTTTGACCAAGCAACACGCCAATAGATAAATCCCGTTATCCTCGGCATCTTCAGTCGTAAGGCCAGAGCTGCAGCTGCGCACTGGGAAGTTGTAGAAGTGAAGTGTAGATATAAATGGCGCAATCGCTCATACAACAATGCACACGAGTATAGAAGTGAAAAAAAAAGTATCACATATCTGCCAAGACAAAGTCGCAGGTGGTTGATGTAGTAGAATGTTGCGCCGGTGCTAAGTTTTAAAAAATAAAAAAATGATAATAAACGAGCCAGAACATCGCACATGTGCAACTCGTCATACCCTGTATAGTAGGCCACATGTGCAAAAAGCGAAGGTATGACTCCCTTCCGCGTGTTCTCTTTCCCTCACCTTTCTCTCTCTGTATCTTCCTGTGGCATGTGTGAGCGTAGTGCAGAATAAGTTTTTTTTTTAATACCGCAATGAGGCCACATATGTGGAAGAAGCTGTGCCGAGTGCAACAGGTTCGCACCGACGATGTATAGCTTCCTACCACGAGTTTATTTTTTTGTTTTTTTTTTTGGTGGCGCGAGAAACAAATGATGCTTCTGTTTCTAGTTTAAAAAAACCCTGTGCAGCGCTTACCTAGGATTTTCCGGCTACTGCTGTCAGTACGCCTTTAAGAAAAGGGCCATTCATATATCGGGAGCTACAATGAAAATTAGTTCACTGAGTTAATTCAAGAAGTAGGAGGTTTTCTTCTGAATGGCAGGGGTCGTTGCGTCACCTTGGCGGAGCATACCTCGAATATCTCGAACCAGCGCTTCTACGTCGTATCTCGAGATTCGCTTCTAAAGTTTGCGCTACGGAAATGTGCTCTGACATGTGCTCTGACATGTGCTCTGAAATGTGCCCTGACATGTGCTCTGACATATTTCGGTAGCGTAAACTTCGCGTAGCAAAGTTTACGCTACAGAAATATGTCAGAGCACATGGACGCCGAGGTGCGAGCGCCACAGCTATGCGCCTATGTCAAGGATTAGGGTCTTCCCATGGATTACTTTTTTTATTTTACTGAAGCCATTCTTAGAGCAGCTTAGGAGAAATTTCATGAGATACCACGGCGGCAGCATCAAAGACGAAGCCGTCAAAATTACGAAGCCAAGCGAATCTTTAAGTGGTGAAGACTTGGTTGCTGACACTGTGGAATCGCTCGTATACACTTCATTTAAAACAACTAGCGACATGTATAAGTAAACAGAACTCTTTTTGTAGCAATATGGTATTCTAAAAGTGTTAGTGCATTTTTTTTTGTGTACCCAGTATTAAAAGCAAACGACAGCGCTTGCGACCCATAGAGGTCGCGGGCACGCAACCCTCTACGCAAACAAAAAAATCAGCGTAGCTTGTACTAAGTCGCGCAAGGCTGGCTCACAGCATAGCTGATGAGCACTTGGCTGGTCCTTGTCCCCCCGCTAGGCTTTTGCCCTCTCTCCTTCGCATTCCTTTTTTATACTACACATTGCTATGCTAGCTTTGTTT